GGTTTGACTTTTTTAAATCTAAACAGAGAGAGGGGGAAATTAAGTAAAATATTTTTGTACTTTTAAATAGGTTAAAGTAAATTAAAATTTGAGAAGTAAAACTCAAGTTTGGAATAATTATATAAAAAAAAAATCCCCAAAAATCCAAGTCCATTGTCATGTGTATTTAGTCTATGTCGAATCATTGCAACCATTGAGGACAGAACAGACTATTTGAGGGCATTTCTAACTCCATACATCTTTACAAAAGCAAATTGTCTCATTTTTCTTCCACAAAGTGAGTGGTGGATTCCAACTGCTGGCCTTTCAGTTAGCAGCCAAATGCTAGTCGTAACTGTACTAGATCCAGAGAAAGTATTGCCTTTGAGTTAGCAAACAATTTCCCACCAGAGCGCCTTAAGGGAACAAAGATGATGAAAAAAAGAATTGGAGTATTTCAAGAGCACACATGGAAATAAAAAGAACAAAAGGGTAAGTAAGAGTGGGAAATGCCATTTTACAATTTCTTACATGGTACATTCACACAATGGACTATTACACAGCATAGAAAAACAATGAACTAGTAAAATATTACACAACATGGAGAAGCCCAGAGAACTTTATCCTAAGTGAAATTTCTTAGTTATAAAAGGGCAAATACGGCCTAACACTACTGTTATAAAATAGGACAGATGGTGGGGTGGGGTTAGGGCAAGAATGAGCAAAGAGTGGATAGATAATGAACACTGCATTAGAACAGATGAGGGGGAAGAACTGTCTGAAAAGAATATATGATTAGGCATGATATGTATGAGAACAATTTGGAAAAAAGAATGCACTGAGGGGTGGGAAGAAAATGTGGAACAATGAATTGAAAAAAAAAAAATAATAAAAAAAAAACCCCAAACATGCAGCAGTGAATGAATGGAAATCCAAAATCTCTGTAAATGTTCATTAAAATTATTTTTTAAAAAAGAATCTATCAAAAAAAAAACAAACAAAAAACACTACCCCAAAACAAAAAAAGCAAAAATAAAATCCATGACAATTATTTGACAGTATCATTCAAAATTTAAACAAAAATAGCCTATTATGACATATGAATATGTTGTATTTATCAAAATAGAAAGTTAAGGGGAAAGAAACAAGGTAAATAAATTACACAAAGGCATACAGAAAGGAAATAGTCCTAGTGGTTATTCCTGGATGTCACAATTACTGTTATCTTTGTACCTGACTCTATTTTCTAGATTCTTCACAAGTAGTACATATTTTGATCTTTCTCAGGACTGTTAAGGTGATTAAATGAGAATTTATATCAAGCACTGCATACAGTACTATGTAAATTTTCTTGGATATTACAAAGATAATTTGAATAACAAAGTACAAATATTGTTTGCTTTATAACAAAACAAATGATAAAGTTTAGTCATTCTACCACACCCCAAATGACTTAAGATAGTGCTAGTGTTCTATATTTGAAATTGCTAAGCACTAAAAGGGCTTCAATATTTTTAGCTATATCCTATTAGTAAGTTGTTGTTGTTGTTGTGTATCATTGAGTCAGAACCGACCCATAGCTGGTTTACAGAGGCAGTTAATCACATGGGAGGAGATTGCGCTCCTTCTTCCTTGATCCTATCAGTAAATTAATTTAAAAATATAGTTGAAGTGCTTACTCTGGAAGCAAATATATTAAAATTGGAACAATACAGAGAAGATTAGCATGACCTCCATGTAAGAGTAACACAAATTTGTGAAGTGTTCCATATTTTTAATTAATGCAAAACCCCCAACACACAGTTCAGAGCATGAACACAGAAGTTAGTGATCAACACTTGGAAAAACAAACTATAGACCAAAAATGGATCAGTTGGTTAGAATAGTGTGCTTTCACTGCTGTTAACAAGTGTTTCCACTGAAAAAAAAACACTGGACCCAATGTTCACTACTAACACCAAACATTCAAAAATCACATTGAAAAAGACAATCAGACTTTGGATTTTCCATCTCCAGGGAGATTATTCTAGCCTAGAACTGGAATTTTCACATATTTAGGATGAGGGGCTCAGAATCTAATCTTAATTTCTCAATGATGGCAGAGTATTGACAGCTCATTCCCAGTTTGGGATGTTTATTGTTCAATCTTAAAGTCGTAAGCCACCAAAATGGTAAAATTGGAAAATGACATGCCAAGAGACCACATTTCTGTCACTGTTGTACCTATCACACTACAGAAAACAAGAAATCTGTCAGTGGACTTCTTCCAACCTCTTCCAACAAAACGGCAAAACAACTGTGAGATATTATCTCACCCCAGTAGAATAGCAAAATTTAACAGAATAGTGAACAATAAATGCTGGCGAGGTTGTGGAGAAACTGGTAGGAGTGTAAAATGGTGCAACCACTATGGAAGGCAGTATAGCACTTTCTCAAAAACTTGCAAATAGAAATACCATTTGACCCAGCAATTTCACCACTAGGAATATACCCTAAAGAAACCACAACTGGTGAGCTCTGGTGGCCTAGTGGCAAGAAACTGCACTGCAATCCCAGAGGTGCGTGGTTCAAATCCACCAGATGCTCTGCTGAAGGAGGAACAATCACCTCCTATACCAGTCAGATCCGATTTGACAGTACACACACAAATAATAAAATTTCAAAAACAAAACAACAAAAAAAAACCCCACAAACCACAGCTGCCATCCAAGCAGATATATGCACACCTATGTTTATTGTGGTTTTGTTCACAACAGCAAAGACTTGGAAACAACCCAAGCACACATCAACAAATGAATGGATAGAGAAACTGTGGTATATTCACACAATGGAACACTATGCTGCATTGAAAAACAAGGAACTCTTAAAAAAAAACCAAACAAACAAACAAAAAAAAACCCACAAGGAACTCATGAAATATTTTACAAAATGGGTGACCCTGGAGGACATTATGCTGAGTGAAATATCTCAAATCACAATAGGACATATACTGCGTAGTGCCACTGTTGTAAAATGGGACTGATATTGGGGTGGGGGGAGACTGAGAAAGATGGGATAAATTATGTATACTGCATTGAAACAGATGAGAGAGAGAAGTGTTTATAAAGGATATATGATTATGCATTATTGTCATGAAAGGAGTCCAGAAATGAAGGCTGCATAGTGGAGTGGACTTGTGGGGAGGGACTGTATAACTATTAAAGAATTTTTCTTTTACTTTTCAAAACAAAGGCTACATAATGGAGTAGACTTGGGAGGGATTGTCTAACAATAAACAAATTTTTCTATTACTTTTCAAAGAGAAGAGCAAACTGAGGGAGAGATTAGGCGGAGAGAAAAGTGCAACAAAGAATGAATGGGAATCCAAAGTCTCCGCAAACTTTCATTAAAATGAATTTTTAAAAATCGCCTACAAAATAATCCCCAGCAACTGTAAATTACACCTAGTTCCTGAACATGACCTCTTAGCGCGCTTTTATGTCAAAGAGTTTCACACAGAAGTCCAATATCCCTTCAGAAAGGGTATAGACTAATAGAAAATAAAAGCATCATTTAACCAAAGAATTATTAACAAGATAACTTCCCTCTAGCTTTAGTTTAGAAGGAAAAAAAATGTGCAACAAAAAAATTATGACTATTTTGAGATGTAATATTTGAAAATACACCTAAATTTAGAGGGAGCGAACTGGTGGGGTAGGCAGGGAGAAAAGTGCGGCAATGAATGAATGGAAATTCAAAATCTCTGTAAATGTTTATTAAAATTAAAAAAAAGGAAAATATACCAAAATTTGTATTATCACCTGAAACATAGGATATTACTTCTAAATGGGAAAGTTTCTGATTCTCACAACACATAATTATCACTCGTAAATGCCCATTTAGAGCCTATCTACTTCAATGATCCCTGCCTTTTTATTTCTCCATTCTTCTTAAGATTTCTGCCACTGTTATATTGAAAATAGGGACTCTTTGCCACTGGCTTCTTATGACATGTTCAGATCGTTGACCTCTATTTTTTTGGTCTTTCAAATAGAATTATTTATATCACACAGCCTTACCTTCTTTTCTGAGGATGGTCTAACTGCTGGGGCCCTTAAATACAAACCCATTCTTTGGGTAGAGTCCTGGCCTGGTCACTTGTGTGTACAAGTCCATCCTCGGTTGCATACTAAAATGCAAGTTAAAATGAACAGGATCAAAAGATGGACAAGCTGTCACTGTGGATGGTTAGTATCTGAAGGAATAGGTCTAGCACTGATATTTTAAGACATTTGGACAATGGGAACCAAGTAAATATGAGTATGAGCCACAGATTTAGATCTTCACTTAGCATATCATAGGAACATGTTTAAAAGCCATTAGATCGCCTCTAGGATTAAAGTTAGTTGAACATATGGATTAAAAAAAAAAAATCAAACTAAAGTTAGAAAAACCCCAACAACTACTGTGTTATCAAATATCCCAGGTCTTGACAATAGTATAGATTGCAGGATACTACAGGTATAACTGGATAGAAAATATTTTAGCACTATTTACAAGGTGGTATAAGCTCAGTACCTAATAATTTTCAAACAACTCAGTGTATTTGAAATAATATTAATTCTATTTACAGTAACAATCTAATGATTGGATAGGGCAATGAGTAAAATTCTCTTTATAGTAAGAAGCTCAAGAGACAACGATTAAAACTAGTATTTTCAGGGAAAAAAAATGGTTATAAAAATTCTGAAGCTTTTGACCGCAGAGTAAGGCAAAGAGCCAGCTTAAATAGCGAAAACAACTTTATAAAGTTATCTGAAAACACATTCAATATAATAGGCTAATCAAATAAAATATATACACACAAATCTATCTTAATTACCAGGATGATGCCTTCAATAAGCTATTTTCATGCAGTCTGTTTGCATAAATGCAATCCTTATCCTACTACCTCATTTATGAAAGTGGACATATAAAATTGCAGATTTATTAGGATCTTGCTTTAAACCATACATGTACCTATTTTCTAGAGAATTTGCTTTTCATATCTATACCTAAAAAAATTGAGAATGGAAAAAACAAAAAAACTGTAATAGTTTTACTGAAACAATTATGCTGAGGCTAGGAGAACACATACTCCAAAACTTTATGCTAACATAACTTATTTATTAAAGCATACATACAATTGTTACACCAAGATTAAAAGAGGAAAAAAAGAAAACATTGTGCTTTTTAAAGTGATCTCATTCACTCACTCATTGTCTAGATATTTCTAAAGAAAATATCAGATATTAAGAAAATGTTAGGAGGGGAGGGTAGGAGCAAAGAGGTATAGATAGGGGGCGTGGAAGATGATAATCATAGGGTCACACAATTTGATAGGTGAAAGGAGGGGTGAGTAAAGGAAATGGGAAAGATCCCTTGCAAAAAACAATGTTTAAGAACTTTTTAAGTAAACCAGTAGAAAATCAAAGTTTTATTAAAAAGATGTTAGTCAGAAATTGCCAGAAATCCAAGTAACACCTTCGCCTACATAAGAAGCAGTAAGAAACACTGTAGGTTAAAAAAACAAAGTAGAACCAAATTCATCCATTGATGTTTACTACACAAAATGCCTGTTACTTGGATGACAGGAAACAGAATAAAAAGAAGCCAGAGACTCTTGAAGATGGTAGAAAAATAAGCTTTCTGTAAGAGTGATATGAGGTTTGATAGAAAAGATTTTCAATGCATAATTTCACTAATGCATCACTCATTTTCCTGAAGGAAAATTTTGATGTTGAATAGCAAAAGCTTGAAGATGGACCAAAAGCTATCTTTGTGGTCAGAAAATATAACTTTAAAAGGTTAAAAGCACTTCTGGAGGGACACATAACATCACCACTGAGATAATCTTAGCACAGTCCTCCGAGATTCATAGGTGCCAACATTGTAAACCAACTCACTGTCAAACTACCTCAAGAGAGAACCACCGTTATGCCTCTAACCTGTCCAGCAAATGCACAAAAGCCCTTCTACGATTTGCCAGTTACTCCTATGACAGTTTCTCAACTCTGCAGACTAAAGCTCAGTCCCAGAAAGAAATTTTTTTTTATTTCAGTGCAGTAACAAGCCCCACTGACACAATAAAGCAACCACCTGTCAACCAAAAGGCTGGAGGTTTAAATCCACCAGCTGGCTCAGTGGGAGAATGATGTGGCAATTTGCTTTCATAAAGATCTCCAGCTTGGAAAACATATGGAGCACCTCTGTTCTAGCCTACAAGTTGGCTATAAGTCGGAGTCAACTGGATGGCAGTGGATTCTTTTCATGTGATTAACTGCCTCTGAAAACCCACTGGACGATCAGCTATGGGTCAGTTCTGACTTGACAGTGTACAAAACATGGTTTACTAGAAAGCAGCGTTCCCACTGACATCCATGCAGCCATCAGCTGGGGTCTTGTACAACTTTGATAAGGAAAAAATGGAGGTATGTTTTTCAGGATACTGTGTTACAGTAATCAAGGTGTGATTTTTGCAAAACTGTCTCTTGACTTCCCCCCCCGCCCCAAACTTATAAGTAAGCTTTCTATGTCCAGGCTATCTTGCTTTTTATTTTAAGATGACTTTTTCATGTTGTTCTGTGTATAACAACATGACATTTTCAGGTACTCTGAACTGTTTATACCTGTCGAAAGGGTATATAATATACATTTAATATATAAAATTATTAAACTCAGTATTTCCTTACAGAATTTTAGAAGTGCTCTTTGATTTAGCATGAGTCCTATTAATGAAAACACATGGCGTCAACAAAAAAATTCAAAGTAGAAAATAATTCTGAAATGGTTAAGTCAGAAAATAGCTAATTGATAAACACAAGCCACGGTAGGAAAAAGTTTCCAAGAGTACAATTCACTAGAATTAAGGAGATAATTTTTCATTACAAAGTTCAGAGTTCTTTTTAAAGCATTCTAATGATTTTTTGAGTCTCCTAAGGGTTACACAAGAGGCCTCTGACCACTTAAACTGCATGTTTAAGCACTGTTTATTAAGACTGTGATGTAGACGGTGAGAAAAACATATTTTTTTACATATTCTAAATGAAAACAAGAACAACTCATGGTTCAATGGGCCAGAAAGAGCTTTTAACAAACATTTTTTGCGAAGACAAAAAAGCACCCCATTCTGAGTTTAAAGGATTAAGATTGCACAGGCAAATGGTCACCTGGTTAGAGGATGAGTTTTAAATTAGCACCTACATAAATTAGCCTCTACTGGCTTTGCTGCTTGAAGCAAATCCATCATCACTATACACATGTGAATGACTCTGAAGGAATGTTTCTTTCCTGGCTGCACCCCTTTAGATAAATCAATTTAAGGAATAAGGGCACTGAGAATTTTTCCTTCTTTAAGCTACTGACCTGGTAACCTTGGAAGAAGTTAAGAATTTCCTTAACTCCAGTATTGTAGGCCAGGCCCTGCATTCTGACCACCGTGCCAGGCTGTGGAGGGACACCGCTAAGATTAGCAGCTGTAGGGAAGTAGCCAAGACTATTAGGCGAACCTGGGGGGCTAAAGGGAGAGAAAGCACAATGAACCAATAGGAATGACAATGTTGAACATTTACTGTAAAAACATCAATTACTTAAGGAAATGGACTTTCACAGTCTCAAGGGGGCCCTGTTTCATATATTTCCCAGAGTTATTATATTTTTACACAAATAAGGTGCACACTTTGCCTTTGGCAAAGGATGAAATCTGCACATTAATTTCCTTTGTGTACTCTATATACCTCTATGCTCATCATTTAAGTGAGTGCTGTTATATGCAAAAAAATACAATAGGCTACATCTTACCCAAGACAGGAGGGTATACCATAGTGGTTCTATCCCATAATTCCATAAAAGCCAAAGTTTAAAATTAGACAAGTGAATATAGAGTTAAGTGCAAGGTTTTCTCAAAGACCCAGTTGTGTCTGAGATTTGAAAAGGAAAAGGAAGGGGAAAATGAAGCCTTCAGTTACTCAACCATAAAGCACCATTTCCAGAGCTCATTGATGATTAACCGGGTAGTTAAGGCATACTAAGGCAGAGGAAGCAGTAATACAAAGGATTAGCAGAAACCGTAGCCACAGACACCAGAAGTTTCTGAACTAACTACTCCTAAAGGAACAATTGTCCTAACATTGATACATTCTATTGTATCTTTCTATCATCCATCTGAGCAAATGTCTATCACAATAATTAAGAACACTCTGCAGCAAAGTACTAAAAATAGGGGGCATGAGTCGGTCCTCATGGCCTGACTGAAAAGGAGAAGGAATTAGAAAACAAGTAATGTAAGGAACTAAATTAAATATCTTTTGTCATCTATCCCTATATAATCCTAACTAATAAACTAATAGTAAAGGTATTAAAACATCTATAATCCCAACCTTCTTAGTACAACAATAAACTTGAATGAGTCAGTTAATTCTACTGGTCTTTACTTTTCCTTATTTGTCAAGTATGGATAACAGTATCTCCTTTATTTAAGGCACAGGACTGTTTAGATTCAATTATTTAATATACAGAATATATCTATATATATAGATATATATCTATATCATGCTTATCATTTCTATTTTCCCTCATACATCTCTAACTTCCATACTATTTCATTGTTTTTGAAAACTGGGTACTAGAAAGTAAGACTAGCTTACAGGATAAGGCAAAGTTCAGATCTGTTGTTCAAAAGGATGGCACCAAGAATAACAACGAAAGTATTATTTGGCACCTACTTGCCCTTTACCTAAAAAGGTAAAACAGTAAAGAGTCTCAAAAGCAATGGTTTTAACTTTTGTTTACATATTAGAGTCTTATAAGAAGGATTTGACAAATGTCTTAACTTTCTGAGCTTATGTCAGTGAATTAAAAAGTAGCAATTCAAAAGAAGGATTTAAAGAAATCCAAGTGATTCTAACAAAATGTGCTATTTAGAGCCTAGTGTCTATTTGTCTGTAAGTCTGAGAGAAGAATGTTCAACTTTAGATCTCAATAGAATTTTACTTACCAATAAGCCACACCCCCTCATTTTTAATGAGGTTTAAACAGAAACCAAGAGTTAAATACCTACCCAAAGATCACACAACCAGTGAGCTCTTTGCCAAACCAGAAGAACCACCCAGATTTCTCAACGTCTAGATCAATGTTTTCCCCCATGCAAATACCATTCTTTCAAAGCTGTATTTATCATGTCAAATGCCCAGTATCATTTACTTATGTCAAATGCTTGGCACTGAGTCAAATACTCAGAACCTCAAATACCACTTTTCTCCATGTCTGTCTCTCTCATTGCCCTCAAGTCAGGACTGACTCATACCTAAGCCTCCAGTGAGCTTTCAGAGGCTGTAAATCTGGACAAGGGGAGATTGAGCATTTTTCTCTCAGAGAGTTGGTGGATTCAAACTGTCCCCATTTGGTTGACAACACAACTCCCTCCTTGTCCACTACAGCAACTGCACACCAGCTATGAAATTCAAGCCAGTCCCACAATATAAAATGTACTTTCATCACTATTCTTGAATGTTCTATTCCCTTTTATCTACATCTGTAAATAAAATCTAGGGTCTCAAGTACCTTTAAAATATAGTTAAAGTAACAGCAGAATAAAAAGTCATCCAACTAAAACTTTAGTGATATGCCAACTATAAGTAGGCTGATGCTTAAACATAATAACACAACTGGATTCTCACTGTTATTCTCACAATTATTGTTGTGTACATGTCACCAGAAGAAAAGTAAGCAATATTATCTTCCTGAAAATGCATGAGAATTTCTTATCAATCTAAATTCTCTAAGCAGAGGCCTTTCACTAAATATTATAAAGGAAGAAATTAATGCATGTGTCCAACAAGATAAAGACAAAATTAATTTGTTTATAGAAACAGCTTGGTATAGGCAGAATATTGAAAAGAATTTACTGGAGTAGGGAGGAAACCTCAAAAAACAAAAAACTGCTAGCACTAATAAGTGAGTTCTGTAAGGTTACAGGTTATAAACATAAAAAAAAATCAGTTGCACTTCTATAAACCAGCAATAAGCAATCGGAAAAGGAAATTAAGTATGTCACTCCACTCACAACAGCATCAAAATAAAACACTTAAAAATTTAACCAAAGAGTCCAGAATGAGGGCTGCACAGCACAGTGGACTTGGGGGAAGGGATTGCATAACAATGAAAGAGTTTTTCTTTTACTTATCAAGGAGAAAAGTGAATGGGGGGAGGGAGTGCGCATGGAGAAAAGTGCAACAAAGAAAGACTGGAAACACTAAGTCTCTGCAAACGTTCATTAAAATTAATTAAAAAAAAATTTAACCAAAGAAGTTCGAGACTTATTAACTGAAAAATGTTAAAAAGGATCACCTATATCAAGTGGAAAAAAATAGACAATATTCATGGACAACATATTTTTCTCTTTTTTTTTTTGTTCATAGTGTTTATTCACAAGTCAAGAAAATGCAAACAGCGGAAATATTCATCAGCGAACAAATGGCTTGAGAAATTGTGGGACAACACAATAGAATACTATGCAGAACTCAAGAGCAACAATTTAAAATTTATTACATGATGCTGGAAAGACTAAAGGACATTATGATAAATGAATTTAGTTTCAAAAGGATACATACTGCATAAACATTATTGTAAAAATAGAAGAATTACTAGTAAGATGCGTACCAAAAGTCCAAAGGGGAAAGGGAAAGAGGAGAGGGGGCTTAGGATGGGGAGTAGAGAAATCTCAAGTTTGAAGAGTTTGGTGGGCAGAACAACCTTCATTATGCAGATGACATAACCTTGCTTGCTGACAATAGGAAGATTCTTGTGACATTTGTTGCAGAATTGCGACTCAACATCAAAACAAAGATCCTCATCACTGGGCCAATAGGTAAAATCATGGTAGATGGAGAAAAGATTGAAGTTGTCAATTATTTCATCTTGCTTCGTACCAGCAGTCAAGAAAGCAAAAGACATATTGCACTGGGAAAATTTGCTGTCAGGGACCTTTTCAGGAGTAATGAAGAACAATGATGTTAGTCTGGAGACTAAGGTGTGCCTGATCCAGGCCATAGTCTTCACAGTTGGACAATTACTAGGGATCTTAGAAAACTGATGCCTTTGAGCTGTGGTGTGGGTAAAGAGTACTGAATATACCATATACTCCTAGGAAAACAAACAAGTTGGTCCTAGAGTATTTTTCTCTTTTTGAGAAAATGATTCATTCTGAAATAATCTCAAATTGATCTATAAACTCAATGCAGTGAAATGAAAATTTTATTTTTAAGTTGCTTTCCCCTCCTCCTTGGATTTGGGGGCAGAAATTAATAAACCAAATCTAAGACCTGTATGAAAAAATAAATTATCCAAAATGGCAAAACTCTGAGAAAAAACAAAGTAAAAGGATTTCTATTTCTCAAATTCAAAACTTAGCACAAAAGTGTACTCACAAGACATTTTTATACCAGCATAACTATAAGCACATAGATCAATGGACTAAAATTCAAAGTTCCCAAAAAAGTCTTATTCAGTATCAAGAAAATTAATGGAAGGACTTTTGAATAGAGATGAGGATAAATAGCTACATAAAATGCAATGATCACCAATACTGTATAAAGACAATGAACTCATTGGTTCATACAAGCTAGAGCCAAACTTACCACAGCAATCATGACTTTGCATTAAATACAACAGCAAAAAGTATGAGAAAAGAAAAAACACCCAACAGAATTTCATATCTTAGAATTATATAACTGACATGACATATCTGAAATATGTAAGGAACTTTTAAAACTTAGGAAAGAATCTAAATAGTTATTTCTCCAAAGACAGAAATCACCACTGAGCAAATGCATTGTAATTAATCACTAAGGAAATGCAAGTAATAATAAAAAAATAATTGGAACATAGGAAAATGGGAACCCACATTTATTATTGAGAATGTAAAATAGTGACACCAGTTTGAGAAAAGTTAATCAGTGACCTAGCAGTTCCATTTCATGCATAAGCCAAATAAACCAAACCTACTGATGGCAAACTGATCCCAATTTATGGGTTTCTGACATAGGCTTTATCCTATTGCCTGAGTGTGGGTTTGAACTGCCTAACTTTTAGATAGCAGCTGATTGCTTTTACTCACAGCACCATCAGGACACCTACAACATTGGGTAACATCTCAATATTGCTAACTGCAGATATTCACAGCTTAGGTTAAAAGAAGCTGAATTTATAAAAAGTACTTATCTCAAGAAAAGTTATTCTGCCACTTTAATATTTACATGGACATGAGAAAAAGCATCACCCAAAATAATCCAACCTCCCTCATGTTGATTCAGGATGATAAGAGTTTCTCAGATTGAAAGTAAAAAAATAATTTTCAATAATTACTATTTGACAGGCAGGATTTTAGGAACTTGTTAAATATATTATAGCATACTACTTTTTACAAGTAACAAATGGAATTTATTTGCATAATAAATTATAAGGAATTAAAATTAAGAACTAAAAAATCCCAGAACTTTTGATATGTCCCTATTAAGGGTATCATCAGTTATTTAGGATACCAGTAAGTCAACTTTGACTCTTAACCTCCTTTCAACAACAGAATCAAAGTCTTCCCAAACCTACCATCTTTATAATTCTTGTGTTTAAGCCCTTTGTTGAAGTCATTGCATCAATCTATCTCACTGAGGACCTTCCTCTGCTTTTTCTAGGTTTTATGTCCTTTTCTAGGGACTGATCCCTCCTAGCAATGTGTGCAAAGCACAAGAGATGATGTCTCACCATCCTTAATTCTTAGGGAACACTCTGGCTGCTCTACTTTGAAGACAGATTTATTCTTTTGATTGTCAATGATCAACAGTAAAAACTTTTAAGTCTTTTACACTCCAATTCAAAGGCATCATTTCTTCTTCCACCTTCATTTATTCTCTACCTTTCCTCACATGCATATGAAGGGACAGAAAATACCATAGCACTTGGGTCAAGTGCACCTTAGTCTTTTAGATATTGATAGCCTTGTTCTCTGGCACCTCAAAGAGGCCAGAGGCCAGCAGATTAGGTCATTTGACTTCTTGACTGTCTTCCATGGGCATTGATTATAAAAGGAAATTGGAGAAATATCAATGATTTCTCTATCATAATATCGTTTCTGGGTCCAGTTATGGAGATTTGTGTCTCTATTTTGTTCTTTTGACTGAGGTATAATCCATACTGAAAGGGATAGCCTTTGGGCTTCTTCAGTGTTTCACATCCTCTTCACTTTTCAGCAAGGTTGAATCATCTGCCTAACATAAGTTGTCAATCAGTCTTCCTTCAAATTTGATGCCACATTCTTCATATAGTTTCTGGGACAACTTGCTCAACACAATGTAGCATTCAGTTGAGTCACATGCAACTCATAGCTACCTTTATGTACAATAGATCTGAACCCTGTCCTATCTTGAGTCAGTCTCTGTCTCTGACACACTTAACACCCTTACACCAGTTACTGTGTCAATCCCTTTAATCCAGGGTCTTCATCTTCTGTCCCTCCACCCTTCCAAGCATGCAAGGACTGGCCCCTATAGCAATATGTCCAAAGCATGTGAGACAGAGCTTCAAAATCCTTGCCTCCAAGAAGCAACTTGGTTCTACCATCTCTAGGACACACTTGTTTTGTTTTCTTGGCAGTCCATGAAATGTCTAATACTCTTCTCCAGTACCCAACTCATGTCACCGATTCTTGTTCTATCATCCTTAGTCGTTGCCCAGCTCTCTGATGCATAACAAGTAATTGTGAAGACCGTGGCTTGAATCAGGCATCATGCTCAACACAGAGATTGAACAGATATATGGTGAAAGATATACCACCTTTCAAATTTTAAACTACACAGTATCCCCTTGTTCTGTTTTGTGTTTTCTCCCCAGTGTTAGTGTATGCTATCTGCAATTTTCCTACTTGAATGACCAGGACAAAGGACAAAATGTACATGAATAGCTAACATTTAGAAACAAACTTCTAGAACAGGTTTCACAGAGACTCAAATACCCTGTTATGTTAGAAATTAATGGTCTTTGCCAAAACCATAAATATTTTATTACTTTGAAATTAGCTTTGTAACTTTTACAGTATAAATAAGAACAGAATATTCATGATAATTTCACAAGAATTAGGATCATTTAAATTACATTATGAAAACACATCTTAATGTATTTTCTCATTATAATCTAAATAATCCTAATTCTTGTGATAATCTTGCATTTATTTAGATGTATTATTCTTGAAATCTTAAATAAAAGGACAGGTTCTTCAAATTACAATTCTGTAAAATTATCCTATAGAAGTATAAACAAGTACTTATGGATTAATAGAAATTTTGCTTGTCAGAAATATTCTAAAACTAAAAGTTTTATTGAATTATGAGGCATGTTTACACTGGACCACAGGCAGAAGTAATAATACTCTCTGGAAAAGCATACAGTGATAAACTTTTAAAAATAAGACAAGGGGAGCTCTGGTGGCCTAGTGGCAGGAAACTGCACTGCAATCCCAGAGGTGCGCGGTTCAAATCCACTCGCCTCCTATACCAGTCAGATCCAATTTGATGGCACACACATAAAATAAATAAATAATTAAAAATTAAAAATAAAAATAAGACAAGCATTTGATACTATATATTAAGTATGCCTCCTGACAGAAGTATGCACATTATATAAATACTACCAGTTACTTCAAGTGTTAAGAGGTCTATGAGCTGAGAGTGTACTTTTTTTACCTATTTATTGTACTTCAGACCTAGCACTGAGCCCATTACAAACACAAACTTTAAAACTAACTGCTAGCAGCCCATTAGAAAGTTTCTTAATTCCCCACAGGAAGGAAAACAAAATTGTAGAAGCTATTAAACCATCAATGTCAGTTTCCCCTACCTGTAGGGCTTCAAAACTGACATTCCCATCTCACTGTGATTACCAACTATTTCTAAAAGATTTTCTTTCAACAGCACACACCGTCAACACTGAAACTGGATACTCTGTAAACGTCCTGTAGGCCCCAGACCTGCACCAGGCAATCAGAGTGACACTGCATTCCACCCCACCATTCTGATGATGTAAGAAAGGTAGACAAAGAACTTCCTTATAACCAGAGCACACCACCAGCAAGCAATTGTCACAGGGTCCAGAGAAGGTGTCAGATTGGGAATGGGGCGAGTTGCCCGACACAGTGCTCAACCATGAACAATTACCAATGCTTTGGAGCCTTTCAAGTCTTCAAAACACTGCCTGTTGACGACTATCATGGCTTTGTCCCTATTGTTCTTGCCAGGTCGAATAAAAAACATTTCCAATAACATAATAAAGGTTTTTAAAACTCCTAATGAAACAAACAAATATAAATAATAGTGACTATAAATAAGCTACTACGCAACCCCCAAAATTCTAACTCCATACAGAATGGGGGAAAAAGGTGACATAATCAGTTTAAAAATGAGGAAAGTCCTAATCAAGAAACAGATTACAATTTCTTATTATTATTAGGAATATTGCTTATATCAAATTAAAATTCAGTTTTATAGAAGTACTCATTAACTAAACAAAGTGGCTGTTTGTTTTTTTTTAAAGAGGTATCTATCTATCTATCTATCTCCAAGTTAGAATCAGGCAACCAAAGCTGGAAGGCGCCTCCAAAATCTTGACCAATCCTATCATTTTCTGAATCTCAGAAAGTTTAAGTGACTTGCCCCAGTTAGAACTGACTAAAGCACTCAAGGCTCTCACTTCCCATACCAACAGCGTTCTTCTAATTTATATACTGCCACCCAAAAGTTGAGAACAAGTCAAAAGAATCAAAGACTTAAAATATGTCGACTCCAGAAAATAGTAAATAATAAAATTCAGAAATTATTTATAGTGAAAAAACGATGAGTAAGGAAGAGTACAAGCTCTATAATATTTAAAGTAATAGTTTTTCTTTAGTAATGATTCAAATATCAGTTCTTAAAAATGAACTTGTTCTCATTATGGATGTCTTGAGTGGTGAGTCATTTACATTAATTACACTGCCACCCTTTCACAGTGATTGCAGAGCTTACTCAGGCTGTCAGTAGGGAAAGCTGTACACATAGGTAAACCTTAAAAATCAGGTTGTCAGTGGACAGTTTGCAGGTAAATTCATATCCATTTGTTTTGAAATAACCAGAAGCTGTTCATGGTTATGCTGACCATCATTTGCGGGAGACAATATTCTTTTTTGTGAGCTCAGGTCCTGGATATCAAAGAAGTCCTTTGTTTCTGTCCCTTAGAGCCTTACCTGGGGTAGTACGCCGTGTAGTTCATGAAGAGCTGAGTGCCCGCTGGATAGTATGCTGTGGAAGGCTGGAGAGCTCGTGGACTTAAAAGCACAGAGGGCTGATAAATGGCAGCTTCCGTAGGAATTACTGCTGCAGGAGCTGGAAATGTGTAGGAGGGAGGAGACAAGCCTAAATAAGCAAAAAAGAGAGACTTTGAGATGTGATTGTATCAGCCAACACAGTTGCATTAATGTTTAAAACACAGGGTCTCTATTCCACAGATTTTACAGAGATCATCACAGTTCTACCATTCCTGTTTGATAATATAATGAACAGAATTCATATAAAGACCACACTCCATCAATCAATGAACTGATCTTATGTGGAGACTGGGGCGAGTCAGCATTAATTGGTCTTTGAAATCTTTACCACCATTTCACAACACATGCTTTTTGTTGTTCTTTTATTATCTTTGCAATCCTGAATGCCAGTTACTACAAACCAAACCTTTGAGGAAAGAACCATGGGACTCACATTTAGTATGACTTCAGACTAAATAAGATTTTTAAAATATGAAACTATAGTGCTACTTTATTGTTATCTTCCTTGTAGTCTATTATGAAATAGCACAGGTTTTGATAAAGCTTTATCAATCAGTACAAAGTGTTATGTCAAAGCATAAAATGTGCCCGAGTGAGCAGATCACTTATGCATTAGTCACATCAAAAGGGAACCTAGAGATTGGCTTTAAAAAGTGTTCAGCCCTGTGAAAATCCATTCTAGGAAATGTTCTTAAAGAAACAAATGTGCAAGTCTTCCACAGCTCAGATGATAAAAACCACTCAGATTGAGTATCAGGGACTAGAAAGGTCCAGTAGATAATATTCGTATGTGTTGGTGAAAGTGTTCCTTGGAGACAAAGGATGGTGAAGTTTCATCTCACATACTGTGGATATGTTCTTAGGAGAGGTTATTCCTTGGAAAAGGACATTATGCTTGGAAAGGTGGAGGGATAGCAAAAGAGAAGACTGTCAATGAGATGGAATGACACCGTGGATGCAGTGAGCTCAAGTGTGTTAGAGATGATGAGGATGGCATAGGACAGTGCAGAGTCTCTTGTTCATCGTGTTGCTGTCATACTTGACCCATCAGCACTTAACAGAAAGGTCCCAATTTCTCTGCCTTCTTGTTATTTCACATATTCCAAGGGCAGAAATCCTGTTTAAATCAGGCCAGCTTTTTACCATTAGTTTTAGAATGTGGAATGTTCACAGGAATGTTGGCCAATGAAGAGCTAGCTAGAAAGGCTAACTGACTACTTTTCATGACATTATTGTTTTTAGGTGGGATCAAGACAACTATCCTAAGAACAGATCTGAACCTTGTCTTATCCTGTGTCATTCTCATGTTCTCTGTCTTGGTAACACCCACTGGAGTAGATACTGTCAAGCCATCTCACTGAGGGTCTTCCTCTCTCTTGCTAACCCTCTGCCTTTACCAGCATGATGTACTCCAAGGACTGGTTCCTCCAGAAAATATGCCCAAAGAGAGATGAAATTACACCATCGTTGCCTCAAAAGAGCGCACCTTGGCTGGACTTCTTTCAAGACAAATTTATTTTCTTTTTTTTGGTAGTCTACAGTATATTCAATATTTTTCATCAATATTGAATTTCATCACATAGAATCACCTAATATAGCTAGCAAATACAGACAAGTACATAACTTTTTCATATTAAATCCTCCAAAGTGATTTCATCATTTTTCTTTTACCTCCTTTGGAACACAGTTCTGTTCCAAACACATGGGGTCATGATGAGGCCCAATCAGTTAGTTACATAAAGGAAATGAAGACAACCAGTTAAAAATAGGTATACAGACTAAAAACCAAGACACTGAGCTAACATTCAATTTTTAGATGCTTCTGTCATATTCATCGAACTACGCTATTGATTAATCATAGGTTTTGTGTTGTTTTATAATTATAGGTTTTTAAAGTTATAATTTCTGGTTGTTAAGAAGGGCAAACAAGATTAAAGTTCTTAAATTATAAATCCTTTGTTCATATCCTGTTTATAAAAACTACCAGGAAATTTGTTGCTGTATAGCATAGTACCTGATATTAATAAGACAAATATACCTAGTAGGTATAAATCTAAGGAATTATGTGAGATAATTCCTTGGCTGCTATGCAGAAGGCCAATAGTTAGAATCCGCTATCAGAGTGTACAACCTAGGACACAACACAGGACAGCTCTACTCTGCTACATAAGGCTGCTGTAAATTGGGAGTGTGACTCAAAGACACACAACTAGCCTCATCTAGTCTAGTCTCAAAAAAAGAGAGAAAGTTAACTCCCACTAAAGTAATAAATGTCAACATTTTAGTTCAAAGTTTTGTCCTCATCTTAGGAAAGTATTCAAAGCCAGGGAAAAAAATATTCTTTTGTGAAACACATACATTGAAAACATGCCTATCATTAACTGCCAAAAAAACAAATATGTTTTTTAAAAAGTACAACCATGGTGCTCCTTAGACGTAAGAATGGTGAAACTTCACCTCACATCCTTTGGGCATAATGCCAGAAGGGACCAGTCCTTGGAAAAAGACATCATGCTGAGAAAGGTAGAGGGTCAAGAAAGAAAAACCTTCAATGAGATGTATTGACACAGTGATTGTAACAATGGGCTCAAGATTTTGGGGATGGTACAAGATAGGGTAAGATTCAGATCTGATGTTCACAGCGCTGCTGTAACTTATAGTCAACTTGGTAGCACCTAAGAACAACAAGATCATCATTTTAGAATGTGTGAAGGGAAAATGGGAAGAAATTAAAATATATTAAATAATCCACAAAGACAAATCTTCAACTAGGAAGATGGACCAGGATATCAGAAGAGAACGATTTGGATTATATATGATAATTTCCTTATAATAACAATGGGTTATGAATGATACTTAAGAAAATGTTACTGACTTTTTTTGATAATTTATCGATGGGATAGTTATGACGAAGGTTATTGTAAGATATTATCTTAAAAAAAAAAAGAAAAATAAAAAAATTTAAAAAAAAAGATATTATCTTAATTTCCATCATAAAAGTGAGATAGTCATTTATGAACAACTCATAGATATTCACCAAGTAGCAGGTACATGTAATATTAGCATTAAGGAATCTCTAGGAGGAAGAAAAGGATCAAGTCCCACCAAATATTCTCTATATAGAATATACTTGATCAAGCAGGTTTATCAGTATGGATTTCTCTTTACCAGAAGTGATATCCCTAAAACTCTTGCACTCTATTAAAATCAAACTCATAAATCTAATTGACATCATGATTTGGTTTTGGACAGTATTCCAAGGACTACATTCTTCAAATAAATCCAACATGCTGTCTAACAAGATATCTTATTAAAAAGTGAAAATTTAAAAAAGTGATCCCGTTTTAACAGTATATCCCCATTATGTTCCTTAGGAACTCATCAGATGTGGTCTCTAGTTTTAGAATAGAGCAGGGTTATCCTCACACAGTATTCAGATAGCCTACACCCAGATCAATGAGCAAGAGCATGGCTTGAAATTAAGCACTGATCCTGTGATCCAATGGAAATGTTGGCTAATTTGGTTACACACTTATATTTTGACTGATTTACTCATTCTAGGTATTCTCTTGAGCAAAAGAAATGCTCTTTAAATTATCCTGTTTTAAACAAAATTTGATCCTCAAAAAAGAAAAAAATATGTAAAATGGGGATCAAATCACTTTGAATAAAGCTTAATGTGTTAAAAAAGAAAACAGATCCAGTTATACTCATAATTTTCCTTACAAATGCATAATAAAGTATCGACAGCCATATTCGCCTCCCAGAGTCAGTGCTTATCTTGAGCACACTAAGCTTGAGAAATGAAGTGCTTATCACTGGAAAAGCAAGAATGTGATTTGAAAGGAGGTATTTGTAGCATCTCTAATTATGGGTGTCCACAACCAAGGTCTTAAATGATTATCAGATACTACCGATTTCAGATGGGGCAAAGTCTTATGTAACCACTCACCTGCCTCAGAAAAGAACCAGGGGCACAGAAAGTTATGAAAGCAGCTTAAGCACCTACCAGCATACAGCGTAGAATAGCGCCAAGACCCAAGAAAAACTTACATGGTAACTTACATGGCGGTGGGGATAAGCCATTTCGATTTAAAGTGCCCCCCATTAACACAAAGTTCATCTCCTCAGCTGAACACTGAAAGACTTCAACATATCTGTCCTTCATGGTTTTTTTATGACACTTCTGTGCAGCCATAAATGCTCTGTCGGCAGACTTCATCTGGATAAAGGCATCTCCTGATGGGCGGCCCTGAGTTTGTGGGGGAAGAATAAAAACAAAAGGAGACTGTCTCCTTCAACAAGGAAATGGTTGCTTACAAAACATGCAAAGTGACAATCACCCATAGTATAGACATCTTAACCACAAAATCTGGGTGACAGTGTGATCTACTGAAATTTGACTTGCATTTCATCACCTAATCACCAGAATGGCCCACAAAACCTTAAAGAAACAGTTTTGAGAGCTCATAGCTTGAAATGGATCCTTTTTGGTTTCTTTCAACTAGTATCAGATTTACAAGGTTCTGAAAGGTTTCTCTTATGACTGTGATTTCAAAGTATAGAATTGTATGTTGGGTTTTTCCTTGTGAAAAATCCCATTTAATCTCATTCTACTGAGAAAAGCAACTAACAGAACCTGTATTAGAGCTTTAAAGGCCCGCCTCCGTGAAACTATGAACCAACCAGTGTTCTTTTTTTGGCTCTCAAATGAGTCCTGGTTCATCACAGTCCTCCCAGCATTACTGGGTTCACTGTTGGCTCAATTCTGAAGCCTAGATGTTGGAATGTAGGTTATTAGTGCTGTTCTATACCAACGAGTCAGAACCTAATCATAACTAAGCCTCCAGCAGGTTTTCAGAAGTGATTAATTACACAGGAGGAGATGGTCCATCTTTCTCTCAAGGAGCAGCTGGTGGAATTGAACTTCATGCCTTTGGGTTGGCAGAACTCCTTACCACTAAGTCACCAGTGCTCCCTAAGGATTGGCAGGTGGTTATAAAAAAATTGTAGAGTTCTGATGGTGGGCAAGAGCTATGTCATCAGCTTTGCTTGGGAACCTTTCTCAGCTTTTCTTTTGCTTTCCATCTTTGGTTAAATTTATTTAGATGCAAATTCTCTAGAAACAGTATAATCTACTAAATAATGCTGTATTAAAAATGGATCCTGTAATATATCTGTTCCACAGAACTCAAACTCTACTGAGAATACATCAATTTCACTTAGCACGATCATTTTATGGAAGAAAAAGGCACACAGGTTTACAGGACTCTTTTTTTTTTTTAGGACTCCTTTTTTATGATTCTCTTTAAAATTCACAGAGACCATTTCTCCAAATTATTACCATGCAAGTTACCACACCAGGCAAATTAGCAATAAACCCAGTCCAGGACAGAAACCTAACAGGTAAGAGACTGGCCATCAAAGAAGCATTTCTCCCAAGTGCAATCACAACAGGTCATGTAGGTGAATGAGAGGCAATGTCTACGGCTGTTGATCGAATGAGAAACACTAGTTTATTAAAAATTGTGGCTCAAAGATGATGAATTGAGGGGATTTTCCCTTTCTCTTCTTCCAAAAAGACTCTTATCAGTCAAATATATTGACAAGGTACTCTAGAGGAAAATAAAGTCATATAACTTAGTACTGACATCCAAGTTAGAATGAAACACCAGTTATGTGGACACCGAACAAGCACTCACGGTATTTTCTGTTTCCTTGTACCCAGTGGGGTGTGCTTTCCTATGAGGTTGGATAGACTAAAGTTATAAATATGATCAAAACTCCAAAATTAAAGAAAAAGGGGAAACTTCATTACTGGAAAACATTCCCATTTCTAATACAAATATATTTGTATATATAATGCCAAGAATACATCTTATTTTTTTAAAAAGTAGTACCATTTTGCTTTTCATAAAAAACGTCAAGAAATAGCTGGTGGCCTAGTGGTGAGAAACTGCTAACATCCTGAAGATATGTGCTTCAATTCTACCAGCTGCCCCACGGGCGAAGAGAAACTACTGTTTTGCTTCTCATAAAGAATTTCAAAGTTTTGAATAGAATTTGTTGGCTCATAAAGTATTTGTTCTGTTTATAGTAAAAATACTGATTTTGGGGAGCTCTGGTGGCCTAGTGGCAAGAAGCTGCACTGCAATCCCAGAGGAACACGGTTCAAATCCACCAGATGCTCTGCCGGAGAAGGAGGCGCAATATCCTCCTGTACCAGTCAGATCTGATTTGATGGTACACGCACACAAAATAATTAAAAAAAATTTAAAGAATAAAAAAAATACTGATTTTATACCTAGTTTGATTAATTCTATTTTTAAAAAAACACACAACACCTGGTAAAATCAATCTGGTGGTCATATATTAAACTACTTCTTATATGCCTGGAATATATACTTGCATAGAAAAAACCTTTTTGGCTAGATTTGGATAGAGGCTTCACCTATAACGTATTCATTAACATACCTGAATGCCTATTATGTTTTAGATTATGATTTTAAATGTGTAAGATATAAGTACTTAAGAATCTTTCATTAAAAGAATTGCTAGACTGTTGAGGAATATTTGTATTGCTGTTGGAAGAAAACCTTACCTGATGATTCAATACCATGTGAACCCCATGAGTTCGAATATCTGTGGAGAATTCCCCCAAGAAGTCCAGAATGTCCTCAATTGTGGCTGCATAGGGAAGACCTCGAAGGCGTATACAGTCTCTAATATTTGTAGGAGACACAAATTGCTGAGGTAGTACTGGAATAATAGGAGGGGTTGGAAGTGGAATGAGAGGGGCCGAGGAAAATCGATTCAGCACCTGTATGCCAAGCAAAACAGAAGCGATTCAGAGTCTAGCTGTTGCAATGTGCTCTAGATCAACATTTGCAATACTTAGAAATGTGTTAGAAATAGAGAATCTCAGAAACTTTAGATTTGATAAATCTGACTCTGCATTTTATTAAGATCTTCAGGTGATTCATAAACACATTTTAGCCAGAAAATTATGACACTTACCTTTCTCAAAACCACAATTAGGTATAAAATATGTATTAAAAAATTATTTATAGATTTGTCTATTTGGACAAATTTATTCTCATCTAACTTGCATCATGCAGATAATACAACCTTGCTTGCTGAAAGTGATGAGGCCTTGAAACACTTGCTGCAGAAGATCAAAGACCACAGCCTTCAATATGGATTATATCTAAAAATCCTCACTCCGGACAAATAAGCAACATCATGATATATGGAGAAGAGACAGAAATGTTAATGATTTTATCATGCTTGACTAAATCCATAATCCATACCATTCTTGGCACTGGCATTCAAGGAATCAAAGGACTTACTACACTGGGAAAGTCTGGTGTCAGGGACACCTTCAAAGTACGGAAGAGCAGCAATGTCAGCTTAAAGACTAAGATGCACCTGACCCAAATCATAATCTTTTCAATTACTTGCCATGAATCTAAAAGTTGGATAGTAAGGCTAAAAGAAGAAGAATTGAGTTGTGGTGGTCTTTGAATTGGGAGTGTTGGCACAGAGTGCAGAATATTCTGTTGCCTTCCAAAATAACAAATCAGTATGTCTTGGAAAAGGTGCGGCCACAGGGCTCCTTGGAGGCAAGCAAAGATAGAGAGGGTCAACGAAGGAGGGGAAGACACTACATGGGGTAGATTGACACAGTGATGTTAACAGTGGGTTTGAGTATGTCAGAAATGATGAAGATGGCACGGGATAGGGAAGGTTTCAGATCTGTTGTTCACAGCGTAGCTATGAGTCATAGTCAACTAGACAATGAATTTAACATCAATATGGAACACATTCAAAAATTGTAGTTTTTTTTAAAAAAAGAAAACCAGTGTATATCACTAAATGTGGACTCTGTAGAAATCTATTTTTCTTTAATGAATAAATAGCTTTCTCTTTACTATTCTTTTCATATCCGACCTCAAAACCAAAATAACAGAATGACTTAGTAATGAGACCATCACAAGCCTAACAATGACTGACTAAGGGTTACCCCAGAATAAAGTGCACTTGTACAAGGATAAAACACAACAGAAGCGGGAAGCTCTGGTGGCCTAGTGGCAAGAAGCTGCAACTACAATCCCAGAGGTGCACAGTTCGAATCCACCAGATGCTCTGCCGGGGAAGGAGGGGCAATCTCGTCCTGTACCAGTCAGATCTGATTTGATGGTACACGCACACAAAAATAGTAAAATAAAAATTAAACTAAAAACACACACAACAGAAGCAAAGAATGAATAGTAGAAAACACCCCCCCAAAAAAGTCTAAATAGATTTAGTGACCATAAAGATAAATAATAACTTAGTTTTTATGGGCATGAGACAATGGCAAGAGAGGATATTAACTACTTATTTTGCATTCATAGCATTTGGTTATTGTGAAGCTGCGTGCTAGCTACATATTTGAGAAACAATCGCACTTAGGCAAAACTGTAAGATTCTTGTCTCCTTTTAAGGAACCCTAGTCACACAGTGGTTGTATGCTCCACTGCTAACCAGAACTCTGGCAGTTTGAACCCAGCAGCTGCTCGGTGGGTGAAAGATGTGGCAGTGGTCAGTTTTCCTCAAAGATTACACCCTTGAAATCACTACAAGGCCATTTTACCCTATCCAATAGGGTTGCTGAATTGACTTGACAGCAACAGATTTAAGATTTAGTTGTTCACATTTTTTGTCTTTTATTAGAGCATGTCAACTAGTTCCAAAAACTACTAGCCCTAAAGTCACCTTAAAAAAAAAAACTACTAGCCCTTGTGCAAAAATTGTGCTGTTCCACTCTTGTAGACTTACGCATTCTGTAAGCTGAAAATGTGGAAGAACGAATAAAACCCTTCTAAAAAAATGGACTAAAATGGATATATACAGATAGATCAATGAGCAAACAAAAAATTTCATGACTAAGAGATGGGAAAACTTTCAAAATGAAATCATCCAATCTAGACAAAGCACAAACACAAAAAGAACAATAGGAAATCAATGTTGCTTCAGAAAAATCCAGGACTGGAAATGGTCAAGCACCTTACAATGTCTAGCACAAAGTAGATGTACAAATATTTAGCAAATGTGATTACCTCAACACTCCTTCAATCAGGTAAGAATAGGAATGCTGGGGAGGAAGCTCACTAACGTGAGTATCTGAGCATGGGGTACAGTCATGTCCAAAGCAGAGTAAGCTGCTCTATCCTCAAGTTAGTAGCAGCCAACGCCCTGGAGTAGCCCCGTTTTTTCCATTTAGATATTAAAAATAAATTTTTCACGCTCTCATCTTGGTAAAAAATGTAATTATTACTTAGGCTAGAGATTCAGAACTCAGGATTCTCATTTACAAAAAGTTAGGGAACTAAAGTATGTTATTCATTTAGAATTTAAGAGTACCCATAACATAGAAAACATTAATTTAGAATTCTATCTCTCATCAAAGTACTGAAGAGCAATGATGCCGTTCTGGACACTAAGGATAGAAGGAGAACTGATGCCTTTAAACTGTGGTGTTGGAGAAGAGTATTGAATAGACCATGGACTGCTAAGAAAACAGTTTGATTTGTTACAAAGGAAATACAAACTTGACTCTTAATGATGAAAATTGTATTATTCAGTTGGAAAATTTCAAAGAATACTCAAAAAAACTTAGCATCTTATAGTTTTTATGCACTTGAATCTTAGTATATTTTAGAGAGGTGGTTACTTCATCATATACTGTAAAAAAAACCCCTATTATTAAGGGACATGATATAAAATATGGTATTAAAAACACCCCTATTATTAAGGGACATGATATAAAATTCATCAGTTTTAGAAATTTGGTGACAAATTATTAAAAATTCACACATTATAACCTAGTCTAAAGAATCTAATCAGAAATTGCTAATTTTATAAGCATGTTGATAAAAAGATGCCATAATCTCTTATGGTAAATTAAAAAGAGGAACTTTTATATAAATAAAACAGCTATCTATATATATTCATGAAATGTTATTTCAATAAGAATTTTTTTAAATGTAGGTAAACTTTTGAGATACACTGTTTTTAAAGGCTGACAGCAAAGTATATTTACAGCAGCATCCCAGCTATACAAAATACACAAAATATTTTTCCTGTGTGGATTCCAGATAACAGTAATGATATTTTGATTATAGAATCAATTTTATTTTTCATGTAGACATATAGACTGTCTGCATTTCCCAAGCTGTTCGATACAGTAATATCTTGTTTCTGGAAATAAATAAGCAAAGAAACAAAGCGCTCTTCAGCACCAACCTGCTGAACTTCAGCTGCTGTGCTTCTGAAGAGTTCGATGTATCTTTTACCCAGTAAGTCTTTGTGCTTCCTCAATGCATTCTGTGCATACTCCTCACAAGCAAATAGGACAAAAGCATCCCCTGTTGGCCTGCCATCGGGGTAGGTGACAAAGAGGATGCCTTCCTTCCCCCCAGTGATGGGGCAATGCTGTCCAAAGAAAGTCACCACTTCCTCAGCTGTGGCCGTGAAAGGGAGACCCCTCATTCGGACAATGACTTGATTTTCCTTGGAGAGAAACTGAGCTACCTCATTTGATGTACCTAGAAAACATAAATATTAGGAAGCATGGCAAAAAAAAAAAGTGAAGACATCAATTTTACCTAATTAAAAATTTCTTGGAAACATCTAGATTTCACAATTTTAAACTTGTAAAAAAAAATCCAATTACTATATAAAGCATTTTGTACAGTGCTGCAAAGTAACAATTACAGGTATGCACCACATTAACAGCATTGAGCAATGCCAAAACACTTTTATGATCATGGTCTCCAAGTTTTTTCCTTTCAGCAAATGATTTACTGGGAACACAGGGTAAGTAAAGCAGGCCACGTAGTAGAGTGGGTAGGCAAGATCCCTTCCTCTGAGTCATAAAGTACACTACTGTCCCTCATGGGTCCTGCAGCGGTCGGTTTACTCCTGGTGGTAGACTCTCTGGTACTATAACGAGCTGACTCAAGGCCTTGCTGCACAGGTGAAGGGCTTCTCACCTGTGAGTCTGCAGGTGCTATTAAAAAGTGACACCATCAGCAGAAACCTTGCCACGCTCGTAGAGCTTCTCAACCTGTGGGCATGCTCCATGTTTTCAGATGAAGGCCTGGCTTATAGTGTGCAGCTTCTTCCCATATATAGCTATTGGTGCAGTAACTGGCTGGAGCTCTAGGTATAGGTCTGGGCTCACCCTTCACACTTGAAGGGCTTCTCCCCAAGCTTCCTGGACACACTTTGATGGTTTCTTCCCAGGAGGATGTATATATATTGCAGTGCCAGATGAAGCAGGATCCACTGTATCAGGATTTGCTGCACTTGTGGCAAGTTCAGGGCTTCTCATTTGGGTGAATGTGGTTGTACTTCAGCAGCAATGAGTTGTGCTTCAAGCTCTTGCTGTAGCTCAAGGAGTCCTGGTCACATGGTGTATTATACACTGTATCGTTAACTCAAAGGTCAGTGATTTGAATCCACAAGCTATTCCATGGTAGAACAAGGGGCATTCTCCTTCCACAGCTCCTCAGCCTGGTCTGCTTGGATCAGTGGTCGAGGCTGGTGCCTCTCTCTTGTATGGGGGGTTCAGCACCTGATGCCTGGCTCTCAGACTGCTTCAAACTGGCTTGTCAATCCAACCTGCCCCCACACATATCTGAGAGTGTCTTCAGCAGGCTTTTCAGCACCTGTATCCTGCCCCACTTCATCTCAAGAACACCTTGCGGGTGAGACAGCAGCACCTACTTGGGCTCCAACTCAGAAATTAGCCAGGAAGAGCCATTTTCCTAGCTTTCCATCTCCCAGATGTCTTAGAAATTGAGGGCTGGTGACAACATCTTCTCAGGGTGGGAGGAAGGATGTGTGGGTATCTGTCAATGCTCATGGAGGTGAAACAGGGCGTCATGATGGTGGTGGGATCCAGGAAGTGTCCCATGAGAGGATAAAGGATAGAGTAGGGGACTCCTGATCTTCCTCAAGGGCTGTCATTGTCACTGTCATCTACTGAGGTTTGCAATACGTGAGACCTAACTCATTCCCTATCATCTGAAGAGAGGTGAGTCTCAAGGGAGAATCCCCTTCAGCTCATAGGGCTGCAGACTCCCTTTCTGAGATCAGGTTCCATTCCTTCCTCATGTAATGGCCAAAGGGGGGAAGTACCAGCACTCCAGGGTCAGATGACAAAGCTTCTCTGCCACCTCACTCCAGGTAGGAGGGCTGTGCCTGCAGAAGGCATATGTGCAGAGAGCAGCAGTCAGCCAGGCTCAGCCACAGGTTCCACATAAGTTTAGATTTTATATGTTGTGGGAACTCTTTATCACAGAATGTATGGTGAGCATTAATTACACAGTACATACTTCTACTTAGATGCATATCCTTCAAGCACATTCATTAGCAATAATCTCTCCTAATAACAAATTCCCTCGTACATGATGCCCACAAAGCATGAAATCCCCAGTAGTAACAAATATTAATGGGCTTTGACACCCCTAATTTACAATGCATCTATCATGGAACTCCAGGATTTAGGTAAGACTTTATAGTCAAACCAAATATATTTCATCCTCAAGTATGACCAAACAATGTGGAACTTAGGAAGGTTTTTTGAACTTGAACTCTTTGGGGTTTACCTAAAGAAGTGCCAGAGAAGAACTATGCCAAATAAGAGTGCTGTTGATTCTAGACTGACAGTTGCACAGCTTTTTTCAGCTGGACTGTGTTATGCAGACTAGATAGGTCAGAAAAACCAGTTAACTTTTTAATACATAATTGTAAAATTCTGAAAGAATATAAGTATCACTGAAGAATTAAGAAAAACTATCTGTTCCCATTTCTTTCTCTTCATATTACAGCAAATTTCACTATCCAAACACCTAAAAAGTCATAAAACTACCATATTGTTAGTCACTGATGATTTAAGGAGATTAAGAGTAAAACCAGAAATTAATAATCAACAATTCTAGTTATTGTGGTGTGACTGTTAGAAAGCAGTTTTCAGACTATATAATTTTTCTTTTTTTTCGTGTTGCATACCATCGAATTGGATCCAACCGGCACAGGAGATTGTCCCTCTTTTTCCAGTAGAACATCTGGTGGATTTGAACCACGTGCCTTTAGGACTGCAGTGCAGATTATCATTTAAGGACTACCCTGCACATACTACTTTGTAACTCTTCTATCTTTGTATGTTGCGATTGTGTAGTATCATGCCAGAACTGACTTATAGCTTACCCACTAGCAGGTTTTCAGAGGCCATAAATCACACCGGAGACAGCCCATCTTTCTCCTCAAGAACATCTGGTACATTTGAACTGCGTGCCTTTGGTTGGAGTTCAATTCTTTCCCAACAGAGCTCCCTAAATTATTAATTTTTTATAGTGCTATTTTAAATGGTGATTTAAGTAAAAGTAAACATTGGTTGACTCAAACCTTACAACTCAATACTATTGGAATTCTTTCTCCTGTGTTTGACAGGGAAATAAAAACCCACCATGATCCCATTTTATCTATACTTGGTGCATGTGTACAATTTGATTTTTTTAATATATAGTCACATTAAATAAAAAAACTTACCACCAGCAATCTTAAGAAAATCTTCACCTGTGGCTTTGTAAACCTAAAGAAAGAAAATTGAACATGCGATTATTAGCCTATTACAGAGATTTAAAGTCAATCAAAATACCAAGAGTCACGGCCTTTGAAGTCTTACCTCAATATACCGCGTCCCCATGTGATGCTTGTGCCTTTGCAGTGCAAGGTCTCTGTGCTCTTCACTTACAAACCTAACCAGAGCTTCTCCATTCCTTCGGCCTTGAGCATTCAGACAAAGTGCAGCACCTCCCCTGCGAAGATAAAACAAGCAGTAGGTAGAAAAGAAGGTAGAGAAAAATAGGATTTTGTGTTCTTTAAAAAAAAAATCCCCCCTCCCCCCCAAAAAAAAATCCCGTTTATCTCTTTGGGATTGTTAAATGAAAACGAGATAAAGAAAACCAACTTGGCAATATTGAGTCCTTTGAAAAATCTTGCAATATCTTGATCCGAAGACTGCCAGGGTAGACCTCGAGCCCTGACCACGGTGTTGTCATCAATGAGCTCCATCTTGCTGCTGTGAATCAAGCAAAACCCCAAGTTGGATGACTAATGCCAGCAAATCTGATGTGTTACCCTCTCCAAGGTTAATTTGCCTAGTGACATGCCCAAATAGGGGTTCTTTTTTTTTTTTTAATTATTTTTGTGTGAGTGTACCGTCAAATCAGATCTGACTGGTACAGGAGGAGACTGTCCCTCCTTCCCCGGCAGAGCATCTGGTGCATTTGAACCATGCGCCTCTGGGATTGTAGTTGCAGTTCCTTGCCACTAGGCCACCAGAGCTCCCCTTAAATAGGGGTTCTTTAACTTAAACACTAACAGACTACCTTCATAGGCTCAAACACTCCATTGGCATGACTCAAAGCTGCCTCCAGGTAGTTTACTATAGAAAGATGCTGCCCATGTAGCTGCAACCCAGCCAGCTCACCCCATACAGCTGAGGAGCTGCTTGCTTGCCAGAACTTGAAAAGGACCCAAGACCAACATATGGTGCAAAGTTCTCCCAGTGATACCACACCTTTGATATTCAAGAAGAGTAAGTTTCAATTTATTCTCAGATCTAGTCAGTATATGAACAGGTTTTTAAATATAGTCTCTAGAAAATATATTATAGTTTAGTTAGTAATTAACTCCCATCAGGGGTGTGTGTGTGTATGTGTGTGTGTGTGTGTACCAGAGTATCTACTTATCAAATTAGGGAGTAAACAGAGAAGTCATTACAGTCTTTATGGAAATGCCTGGGTGTCTCCACACCTTAATGAGTCATTTCCAAATCACCTATTATATATTTTGACAACTTTTGATGTTCTATCCCTCCCATGTTCATAATTTTCAGCACTCCTAGAATCTTTTTCTAAAAAGAAACACTTTTTCCACAACTCAACAGGTCTCAAAGTCTTTCCACAGGCAAGTTGTCAGAAATCTGTTTTCTAAGGGAGCTCTGGTGCCCTAGTGGCAAGATGCTGCACTGCAATCCCAGAAGAACACAGTTCAAATCCACCAGATGCTCTGCTGGAGAAGGAGGGAGCAATCTCCTCCTGTACTAGTCAGATCTGATTTGACGGTACACGTAAAAATAATACAATTAAAAAAAAAAAAAAGAAATCTGTTTTCTTCAGGCAACTGAACCATCTCACCCAATTCACTACTGAGATTTGCAAACTTAAACAAGCCTTGCCTGTGATCATAGAGATAACCACACAACTTCATACTCCTCCCCAGTTACTCCCTTGGCTTTAAAATGGAGCCGAGTAAAAGAGCTTAAGATTGTCTCAGTAAAAAAAAAAACAAATAAACTCTTTCACAGCCCAAGATTTTTCCTCCTCTGGAGATTTGCTTGTGAAAGGACAATTGAAAGAGAATGACAATCCACTACAAACTTTTACTTAAATCATAATAAAAAAAGGGTATCAATAATTAAGTTCTTAAGAACAAAACAGACACAAAAAGCTCTACTTTCAATGCATAAGGAAAAATGAGCTAAGATCAGTCTGATCTGTAATATGTAAATAAATATTACAATATGTAAATATTTCTTAAATTTTAACTCCAACATCCAAGCTGACTGTAACTAATCATCCAAGCTTCTTTTACATATGACCTGTCATGAAAATGAAAAGAGCCCTAGTGGCACAGAGCATTATAAGTTGAACAGCCAACAGAAAGTGGTCTGAATACACCAGTCATTTGGAGGGAGGAAAACGGGCAGCCTCTCCTAGAGGGTGACTCCGAGTCAAGATTGACCCAATGGCAGTGGTTTTGGTTGGGTAGGTAGTTTTTACTATTGAGAGGACAGACATGTGACAGTCTGTTTCTGTAAAGATTTACAGCCTTAGAATCCCTATGGGGTAGAATTCTCTTTTATTCAAAAGGTTCTTTTATGAGTTGACCCAAAATCGAAAGGTAGTATATTAAGAAATAATTTACTACATTCATTAAAATTTAAAAAAAAAAATTAAGCTTAAGAAAAAAAATAATTTACTACATAGAATAAACATGGCATGACTTGCTTTCATTTTTTTAAAAATCATTTTTCTGTGTGTGCGTGTATATACCGCCAAATCAAATTTGACTGGTACAGGAGGAGATTGCCCCTCCTCCAGCAGAGCATCTGGTGGATTCGAACTGCATGCCTCTGGGATTGCAGTGCCATGACCTGCTTTTGTAGTAAAAGAAAATTAAAACTTACCACCATTTTAAAAAGAAGAAATATATTCTTTACAAGTCACACGGCAGAATTTAAGGTTCAAGAATGTATAGAAAAATGTGTAGGTGTAGAAGTATGCCTTTGCTTAATCATTGGAAGGCAATGAGAAAGATCACTGAGAAAAAATGTGATACTATGAGGCCCAGAAGGCACTGGACTGAATCACAGAACCTCAGTTCCTAGTCTCTGCCTGTGTCTTTCTCTCATAATGACTTTGGACTGGCTAGAAACTAATAAAGTACCAATGAGTTAAGATTACTATAGTCTCTATTATAGTACTATGAATGAGAAGACCACCTTTGGAGCATGTCTGTGTAGCATGGTGTGCCATGAACCAAGAACATTTTCTGCATCCTTAATGTGTTTTAAATACTTTCTCCACAGTACCAAATGGTTTAAGAAAGTTCCCACTATGTAAAGGAAGCTAAATATTTCAACTCAAATGAAAAAGCAAAAGGATCACATAGAATAAAACCCAAGTACTTACCAAGTGCCACTTTCAAATTTGTAATTTACTCTCTCTGGATCTGAAAACCTGTGATCTAAAAATTAGAACACATAAATTATCATTTTAGCTACCAGAGAGGCATAGTGATGGAAGACATTCAAAGGTACGAGGGAAAGATAGGAGGATATAATTTTAGGTGCCTGTTGTAATAATAGCAATACTTACTATAAGGATCTGAAATCATTGCTAGAATTATATTCCCCATATCTTCAACTTGAGAAGCTCCATATCGAGAGACAGAACTGTTTTTCTCAAAATTTAAATCTGAAATATTACGTTAAGGAAACATTCTGTGGAGGTAAAATGAGGTTGCTTCTAACCCCAAATTCATCTCATATAGAGTCTAGAAGCCAACTAAAATAGACACAGATAAAAGTCAATAAGGAAAATCATGTAGCTAGGTAAGGTTCTAGGAATGTAAGTACTTCCCAATCTTAAGACTACCCTTGACGTCTCCATGAAAATTCTTGAAATCTCCAACTGTCTTGTTGGATACCTGTTAGCAAAATCAATTCTGAGGTATTACTAATAATAAAATTTACCTACTGGGTAGTAAATGACAACAGTCATAACCTACTTCTGTTAACAACTGTTCAACTATGGACCAGAAAGTTGGAAGTTTGAACCCAGCCACCTTGGAAGACACACACTCTGTATTCAACTAAAATTCCATGCCACTTTTTCTTTTCCTTTCTCTAGGGGGGAAAAAAAAAGAAACACAACCACCCCCCACCCCCAACCAGGCCTACTACTTTCTCATGATGCTAATCTGACTCACTTTTACATTATTCCTCAACCAGTTCTGTTTCTCTGCAGTGACACATACTACAAGTGGAAATATAGCTATATGTATACTGACAAATTGATTGTTATGTGCCGTCAAGTCACTTGCGACTCATAGCGACTCTATGTACAATAGCCCTAAACTCCACTCTGTCCTGTGCCAATCGCACTGTCTCTGACACTCCCATCCCCATTATCCCAGTCACTGAATCAATCCACCTCATTGAGGGCCTTCCCCTCCTGCATTGTCCCTCCACCCTCCCAAGCATGATGTCTTTCTCCAAGGACCGGTCTCTCCTCAAAACATGTCCAAAGTATGTTAGACAGAGCCTCAAAATCCTTGCCTCCAAGGAGCCACCAGGTTTAACCCTTTCCAGGATGAATCTGTTTTCCTAGCGGTCCGTGGTATTCTCAATACTCTTCTCCAGCACCACAGCTCAAGGCATCGATTCTCCTTCTATCCTCCTTGGTCATGGTCCAACTCTCTGATGCATAACAAGTGATTGTGAAGACCATGACCTATATCAAACGCCCCTTAGTCTCCAGGGAGACACCATTGCTCTCCAGTCCCTAACAGCAGACTTTCCCATGGCAATGCGCCTTTTAATTTCCTGGCTACTGGAAATATAGCTTTATGTATCTTGACAAATTAACTACCTTTTGAAATTTTAGATTATCTTTAAAGCCAAAGTGTTGCCTTTTGGCATTGTTTTTAAATGAAGACTCAAAGAGGTATGATTAGTCCAAAACACAAAGCAGGCATTTGAAAAGAAGTATCCTCTGTCTCCCTAAAATCCTTGAGTGATCACTTTCATAGCTCAAAAGTGATCAGACCTACCCATGGGCTATTTCGAGGATTTAAAAAAATGATCTTGAAATGGATAATTATTTACATATGTTCACAGGAAAATCAAGTCTGTAGATAATATTTACATCTCCCTTGCCCCTTTAAATCATCCAATGATGACATAAATGCACTTGCCCTGCAATCCCGAAGGCATGGAGTTTAAATCCACTAGCTGCTCCACAGGTAAAGGATGGGTAATCTTCTCCCATGTGTAATCACTGCCTCTGAAAACACTCTGGAGGGTCAGCTAGGGGTTGGTTCAGACTCAACATGACAATAACTGATTAGAAAATGTACCTCAAATGTTCACTTGCAAGATCAATGACTTACATTAAAATGAGTTTCTGGGGAGCTTTGGTGGCCTAGTGGCAAGGAGCTGCAACTACAATCCCAGAGCCAAACGGTTTGAATCCACCAGATGCTCTGCCGGGGAAGGAGGGACAATCTCCTCCTGTACCAGTCAGATCTGATTTGATGGTACATGCACACAAAAATAATAAAATTAAAAATATAAAAAAATATGACTTTCTGCAGAACATTGCACTAGAGAGCATCTTAGAATCCAGTCTCGGGGGGGTTATTTTAATTTTTTAAAAATTATTATTATTTGTGTGTGTAGCGTCAAATTGGATCTGACAGGTACAGGAGGAGATTGTTCCTCCTTCTCCAGCAGAGCATCTGGTGAATTTGAACCACGCACCTCTGGGATTGCAATGCAACTTCTTGCCACTAGGCCACCAGAGCTCGCCCAATCTCATTTTTAGAGAATATGACTACAAAACAGAAAGTAAAAGATATTCATTGCTGTGAAAAGTAGGGCCAAAAGATGAAGGAGTATTAGGGAAGATGGCTGTCTCTAGTTTTCTGGAGTTATTGGGGGTAGGTGCAGGGGAAACTAAGGATCATTAAGACTGTCTTATGAAAAAAATAACCATAGTTTATCATGCACCCTGCAACCAAGATAAGGGAAAGGCATAGATAAAGAAGAATACCCACTCATTGGATGGCAAGGTTTCTCAACCATGGTGATATTAACATAACTCAGATAATTCTTTGAGACAAGGTTTCCTATGTACTATCAGATGTTTAGTACCATGCCAGGTCTCTCTTTACTTCTAAAAATGTCTCCAGACATTACCTAATGTCCACAAGGGGGCAAAACCATTTCCAATTGAGAGCCACTGACATAAGCTACTAGTTCTCAGCAGTATTTCCAACTCCAACTTTACCTCTTACTAGGTTTTGGTTTTTTGTCTTTTGTTGGTTTTTTTTTTATCACTCAGAGACATCTCTTACAATTAAGGGATGTTGTGAAGGAAATTGGCCAAGAGAACACTAAGGAGCAGGCTGATTCTTGTCAAAATAAAGAGACATGCATATATTAGGGAATGGGAAAATTGTTTAATAGAGTAGGGATTGACTACTGGGCTATTTTTTGTGTTGTTTATCAAGAATGGATTTTACTTTTATAAAGGGGGGCAGGAAGCAGCAAAATTATTTGATACTTGGCCTTTTATAAGAAAAATTTTGCTAACTCATGACTAGAAAAGGTGAAAATAACCAAAAGATAATCATACATTAAAAAATGCCACATCATTTGACAAGCACTGTGGCAATGGGACAATTAAAACAGACATTGGGGGGGGGGAATGGCAAAGGATACACTGACAAAGAAGATTAATCAGAACTGGCTTTGACAAGCACTGTGGCAATTGGACAATTAAAACAGACTTGGGGCGGGGAGACGATCGAAGTGGGGATGAGGGTGGAGAAAACAGTGCAACAATGAATGAATGAAATCCCCAAATCTCTGTAACTGTTCATTAAAACTAATAAAATTTAATTTAAAAAAAAAAACAATTTTACCTTGCTCAGTTCCACAGTCAACACTCTTGACACAAGCAGTCAGGAAATCAAAAGAGTCATTGCTTTAGGATAATTTGCTATCAGGATCGCTACAGAATGCTGAAGAATGTCAGTCTGGAAAGCAAGATGCACCTGATTCAGGCCATGATCTTCATAATTATTTGTTATGCATCAGAAAGCTGGACAATGACCAATGATGACAGAAGAATTGATGCCTTTGAGTTGTGGTGCTGGAGAAAGTATTAAATATACCATGGATTGCCAGGAGAAAGGGTAAAACCAAGTTTCTCCTTGGAAACAAGGATTTTAAGACTCCATCTCACATACTTTGGACATTTGGGCGAGAGGGATCAGTCTTTGGAAAAGGATATCATGCTTGAATGGTTGAGAGACAGGTCAGGAGGGGAAGAAACTAGATGAGATACATTGACACAATAAATGAGGTAATGGGGTGGATGTGTCAGAGTGAAATTTGTTCAAGATAGAGCAGAATTCAGAGCTATTGTACATAGGATTCCTGTATGTTGTCGTTGACTTGATGGCACAAAACAACAATATCACCTCTATAAGAGAGTTGTGATGACCTAGTGGCAAGAAGCTGTGCTGCAGTGCAGAAGGCCTGCAGTTTAAATCCACTAACTGCTCCTCTGAGAAGGATAGACAGTCCCGTCCTGTGTGATTAACTGCCTCTGAAAATATTTTTTGAGTTGTCTGCTCTCAGTCTGTGAATGCTTTTAATAATGACTGGTATTTATAAATGTTCTCTGCGAAATGAATACCTGACTTGTGTTAGGAACCCAGCCTCAAAAACCTACTATATTAATAATTTGAGACATGTATAGTAGTTCAGAATAGTAGGTGTAACTTAAACAACAACAATATAAGACATTTTTATTATTATCCTGTCCCTCTGTTAAAGATATTTTAAAGTATCTCTAGTGTTTCTCGTATGCTTTTTATGCATCAGAAGGTACCAAGCTGAAAACCCAAACACACCACCATCAAATAAATTTGACTCAGAGGCTCTGACAGAATGAATAAATGTCCCTAGATAATTTCCAAATCTGCAAATCTTACAGACAAGACTTCTTTTTCCTGTGGAGCAGCTGGTGAATTCTCGTCGCCATCCTAGCTCTTTAATTACTATGCCCTTGGAAATCCTAGAAAGCTACTTGTATACTGTATACTAAGATAGATGTTTTATCAACTGAATCAATCCAAATAAATATGAACCATACCTTTTCAGAGTTAAGGTCCAAGTTTAATTTAGACACAGATTTAGGAACGGTACTCGCTTATAGTATGAAGATTGCCAATTTACACATTTTTAATAGATTTCTACCTTATAGTTGAGATTCACCACTCAGCTTACAATGAATGATACCTGAATTGTACAAAGTACAGGTCTCTTCTATTAATGTTTCAGGGCTAGAGTTGGGTTGGATCAGATGGGGTAGAATCCAATGAATTCATTTTCTTCCCTCATACTTATTCAATTAATTTTTTCTTTTAGGATCATAGATTAGTTTTTTGAGAATATTTGTGATGTATGTGAGGTCTTTTATGAAAGGAGATGCTTTTGTATTGTGCATCTCAGGAGCTCCATAGCTGAGAGGAGCTACTCTCTGCTGTTCTGGGCCACACTGCCACCTGGGGGCCAACAAGAAAGAGCATCTTAATGATGCAGTCAATACCAGATAGATAGCTTGACACTGGCTTTGTTCTATTAAGATACACGTCAAGACATCATTATCTGTTTGTAGGCACT